TGGGGCAGGGAAGAGCTGCAGCGTTGGCGGGTTTGTGATCCGGGGGTGCCAAGGAGAGAAACCCTGTGCTGCCAAAATCCGGTTGTTGGCCTGGGATGGCCTGTCCCAGCCTGAACTGGCGAACCACAGAGGGCCGAAAGGGGAGGGCAGGAGGCTGGGGGCCACAGCCGCCTGCCGTGTCGCGGAGGGCTGCGGCGGGGAGTGAGCAGGGCTGCGAGTGGGTCCTTGCTCTCCAGGATGGCTGCAGGCAGGAGGTCTCGCTGCTTGGGGGGGTTGGTGTGCCCTCCCCCCTCCCCGAGTGCTCTGCAGTGATTTCCCCTGGCTAGCGAGTGGGGAAGTCATGTCTAGGCAGGGTTTTAGCAGGAGAGAGGGGAGTATAAGCTCATTTTAATCCTACCTGGTGCTTTATCTGTTTCTGATCTGGCTGCTGCCACAGATTTAACCTGGCAGTTTTTTAATCCGAGTTCTCCCTTGGGGCTGGAGTCTCAGAGCAGGTTTGGATTAACTGGGTCTAATCGCCTGATCCTGTTAGAGGATCAATCTATGTGATCTGTGATTAATAGCATCCAAATCCCCTTCTCCCCTCTTCCCCGGGGCCAGGGAGCGCTCTTGGGCCCCTCTGCTGCCCCCCTCTCCTTGCTCACTGATGGAGAAGGGCCTGTCTGTGGCTCGGGCCCCGGGAGGAGCAGGCTTTGCTGGGAAGGGAGGAATCCTTTCCCTGAGCCTGTTGCTGTGGGGTGTCCGGGTGCAGCTGGTGCCTGGCGTCTTCCCAGGCAAGGTGCCGTCTTCCTGGGTCAGCGGGTGCTGGCTGAGGGCCGCCTCCGTGCGCGGGGAAGACACACTCCTCCCTCCCTCCCCTCCTCCATCCATCTCTCCCTCCATCCATCCATCCTCCCCCGCCGGCTGCTTCCCAGTTAAGTCCTGCCAGATGGTGCTGTGCTGCGGTAATCTGCTCATTTGCCAGTGGCCTCTGCTGCTGTGCCGCAGCCCTCGCGGGCCCCGTGCCCCACGGGGGCTCCCGGGGCAGGGGTGGGCACGGCCAGCTCCTGGCACGTGGGGCTGGCGGGGGAAGCCGCGGGGGGGCCTCCCCTGCAGCTGTATGCTGGGGGGGGTGGGTGACAGAAAAGGCACGTGCAGCTCCTGGCACGTGGGGCTGGCGGGGGAAGCAGCGGGGGGGCCTCCCCTGGCGCTGTATGCTGGGGGGGTTGGGTACCAGGCCCTCTTCTGCCCCTCTGCAACTTCCATGCCTTGAACATCTCTGCAGTTTGCTCACGTGTCCTGCCCCGTAGTGCGGAGGGTCCGGTCACGGTGGGACTGCGGTGGGGTTTGGGGTAGGGAGCAGCGCTCAGCGCCCACGAGAGCACCCTGGGTTTCCTGTAAAGCGAGGGTGGCCGTGCTGCGTGGGGCTTGTGGCCCCCCACAGCGGGGTGGTTGGGGGCAGGGGCTGCTTGGCATTAAAGGGGTAAATTAAGAGAATGCTCATTAATTAGCAACAAAGTGGCACTTCCTGCCCTGTCTCCTCAGCCCGTCTGCCCCCCTCCCTGGGGCTCCAAGGGTGGCATGAGCAGGGGCCAGGGTGCTCTCTGCCAGCCTGGGGGGTGAGGGGGACCCCTGTGCCCATCATAGCTCCCCCCATTAGACGTGCTTGGGGCTCCGTTGACCTGTGTGCTCAGACTGGGGGTGGCTGCCCGGCCCCCCCGTCTGAGCCCCACTGTGCCCCTCTCGCAGGCTGCGGGAACAGCGCCTTGAGCCACGACCTCTACGAGCTGGGCCACACGGACATCACCAGCATCGACTTCTCGCCGGTGTGCATCGAGGCCATGAGAGCCCGCTACGCCCACTGCCCCGGCCTGCGCCGGGCCGGG